CAATCTTGTTCCAGAATGAGAACTGACTCTCAGAACCAGGAGGCTTAGTGCCCGCTGACAGCCATGGGCTGCTATTGGCTCTTTCTTTTCTCACCATTAGTGAAGGGTACCCTTACCTACTTTTCTTCAGGATTCTAGAAGCAGATGCTTAACAAGTAGGAGGGGAAGCACCCCAGGTAGTTGTGTAACAGTCTGTAGCGCTTGAGATCACCAATGATCATGATGACACTCTTTCTCAGAGGGGCTTCTTATTTCAAATGACAGAATGAAGGACATTTCCAATGTAGCAGGCCCCACACTCTTTCATGCCTTTACAATTTAAAGATGTACTAAGAACAAGTCCCAGAGTGTTCAGAATAGCCGCAGCACACTAGAATGCTAACTCTCCCACTCACTCCCATTGACCCTTGTCAAGGGGATCTCTTCCATGGTATGAGGCCAATGGCCTGGGGTCCATCTCACAGGCTAGTGCAAGATGCATGTGAGAGCACAAGGTACAGGTGAGAGCACAGAGGCATATTGTCTGTCAGTACCATCATGCTGATATTTTCATGTTTGCTTACTTTAGTACCCCTTCTAAATAAAGGGGATAGTAAGTACGGGAGTGGCTTGGAAGACGGAGATTCATATACACAAGGGTAGCTTTGAGGTTCAATATAGACAGTTCTGACCTACAAAGGCTCTTGTGCATCCATAGAAACTGTACTTGGGGGTGGGGTGGAGAGATGGCTCAGCAGTTAAGAGCACTGACTGCTCTTGCAGAAGACCCAGGTTTGATTCCCGGCATCCACATGGCGGCTACGAACCATCCTTAACTCCAGTTCCAGGGGAATCCGAAGCCCTCTTCTGACCTCTGAGGCATTGCGTGACATGAGTACACTCACATATATGCAGGAAACACACTCATACACATAAAATAAAAATAATAAATTTTTTTTTAAAAAAGAAACTGTACTTGGAATTTTATGGGCCAGCAACTTATGATTCATGTTCTCTCATGCTAAGTAGCAGCACTGAGCTGCAGCTCCCAACAGCTCTGTAATCCTGAGAGTAAGCACCTGATATTGGGGTGCAGTGGTGCCTGACTTGGATGTTCGGTATGTTAGTGTATTAAGTACATTTTTAACTTAGGATGTTTTCAACTTTTTTTTTTTTTGAGAAGGGTCTTCCTTTAGCCCCAGCTGTCCTGGAACTTACTATGTAGACCAGGCTGGCCTCAATCTCACAGAAAACCACCTCCCTCTGTCCCTGGAGTGCTGGGGTTAAAGGCATGTGCCACCACATTTGGTGTTTTCAACTTCTAATGGCTTTATCAGGATGTGGTTCAATATAAACTGAGACCATCTGTGATTTCCTCCAGAGGAAAGTACTACTTTCTTGGTGTGATTGCACTGATGCAAGCAAAGTGACAGAAACACAGACGAAAGGAGCTAAGCAGTGCACGCGGCTGCTCACTTGTCCATCCAGGCTCTGAGTGATTTGCTTCTGAATCCTAAGACATGGCACAATTTTCTTTTCTCATTTCTGAAACCCTACCAGACTGATGCTGATGGGATTCAAAGGTGACTAGATACTTTCCAAGGCTGCAAAGCAGAGAACTGGATGCAAAGGAGCATGGGTACCTTCCAAGGATGCTGATCAGCCATTCCACAGAACTGGACAGGACTGTAATAGGCATGACCCCCAAGTAATTTCTTCTGCTTAGCAGTGTGTCTGGCCTCTTCACAGTACCTGAGCTCTTCAGATGATATAAATCTAACGTGTCATGTAAGAACTAAAGGAAACAGGGTTGGCAAGTGGGTGATTTTAAACAGGAGCCAACTTAAAACTGCTTAAAATTGGGTCTGGAAAATGTACATGTTCTTGTTTAAGATAAAGAAGCCATCTCTGGATAGTCTATGTGTCTATTATATGTGCCTGCATATTCAGGTGAGTGAGTAAGTAGCTAAATGATAATTGCCACATGGTTGAGATGAGCTATATTCAGCTACACTACAAAGCAGCTAACATTTCCTATAAGTATATTTGCCTTCTAAGAACTTGATGCTGTAAAGACTCCCACCAAGTACTAGGTGCAGATAAAAAGCATCCTGGCCTTCACTGCTCATGTCACTAAACAGTCACTTTCTTTTTGCTTTATGTGGATTATCTGAAGTCTTCAATTCTGTTCCCACTCTTTGTTCACAAATCTCATCGTCTTGTTATAGAAAATTCAATAACTTCCACAGAAAAAGCCTTTTTATGATAAATAGCCAAAGTACTAGTTTATCCTTGTTGCTCTACCAAAACACCTTAGGTATAATGGGCAATTATTATAATTTTTTTGGTCTTTTTGAGACAGGGTCTCCCTGTAGACCAGGCTAGCCTTGAACTCACAGAGATCTGCCTGCCTATGCCTCCTAAATGCTGGGATTAAAGGCGTGCACCACCACGCCTGGCTGTAATGGGTAACTTTAACATGATGAATTGGCTGCTCCCAGGTATACAGGTTGGAAGTCCAAGATCAAGATGCCAGAAGACTTTGTGTTTGGGAAGGACCCAGCTCTGTTTCGAAGATGGCATCTCAAATGTTATGTCCTCACATGGTGGAAAGATAAAGGGAGAGGCAGTGCCCTGAAGTCTGCTTTAAAAGTGTGCTAACTCCACCCGTGAGGCAGAGCCCAGAACAACTAGTTAGCTCACAGAAGCCTTGCCTCCTAATAGTACCGCTTCTGTGATTAGGTTTCAACATATGAATCTCAGAGGGACACATACATCCAAACCACAGCATCAAGTACTTCAAACCTTATCATACACAGGAGGCAATAGTAACAGCTAGTTGGATATTAGTTTGAATTAATCTGAAATGTCCTATAAACTACCCATTTAGAGACCCTGAGAAGAACTGTATAAGAAAGAGGTAAACAACACAATGACACAGAAATCAACCAGAAAAATAAATCTTTCTCTTGCACACACGCCTCACCAGTCTGAAAACTCGATGGTGGCCACTACTAAAGGGCACAGCAAACTTACAAGGCACCCTACAATTAGTCCTTGAATATCTGATTTTGCTGAGTTAAAGACAGATAAGCCTTAACCTAGTCCACCCATGGCCTTTTACCAAAGGTACCTAGATGCTGTCCTTTCGGTTCTGGAGCTTCACCAAATTCCACCAGTCTAGCTTTTGAGTTCTGTGTGTGCATTTTTTTCATGTGTGGAACTGCCTTGCCCCGGCATCACAGGAAGTTATGTCCTGGCTCCGCTTGGTCCCCTTCACTCAATTTTACCACCTACCAACAATGGCCATCCCTGCCTGAAATGAGTACACAGGCTCTATTTCCATGTAGCACTGGCAGCTGAGCAGAGCCCCAATGGTGCATTCTGGTAAGGATGTAAGTGCCAGGTGGGTGCCTGGTGGCTCACAGGCTCAGCCTCTCAGGCAGCCAGAGGCAGATGTGTCTACAGTGGTGACCTGAGAGTGAGATACTGTGAACTCACACATAGCACTACTAACTAGGATCTACAACCAGGAACCACCCAGCATGGCCTTGTAGGTGTGACCATGCTCAGGCAGGGCTTTTCTCACCTGTTTCTCTAATGTTTGTGTGTTGCTTTATTTAAAAAACCAATAGCATGTATTTTCTATACAAGGATTTCTCTGTAACGACAGTGAAGTGAATCCCTATTTCAGACAACTAGTTATTCAATGTTAGTTAATTCTCAAGCCCCTCTTTTGGCCCTGCCTGCAAATCACATACAACTTTCTTGTCCCATTCAAAAGTCAAGGTTTGCAGAGGACTAGCTGGCACCACTCACTCCCCTGTCAGTGCTGGAGTGCCGCAGGGCCCTGAGCAGTGCACAGATAGCAGAGCTCTAGGGACAGCTGCTGAACCCAGCAAATGTTCAAACCAGGTTATGAAGCGGTATCTCGGGCTGGAAATATAGCTATGCAATAGAGCAGTTGCCTAGTATATACTTGAGACACTAGGTTAAGTCTTAACACCACAGGACCAGCCACCTTTCTCCTTTTCCTTCTGCTTTCTCCTCTCACTCCCATTTTCCCAGCATCTCCGGGAACAGACCCACCTGCTTATATCTCTGAAGTCCCTCAAGAAGGCCCTTCTCCTGTGGCTGCTGCCCATTATCTCTAAGTCCCTACAGGCTCAGAGCCACCATCACTCCAAATGTCATTGCTTGTCTTCTCTTTTGCACTCAGGTCTCCACCTGAGGAGTGGCTGGATCAGAGTCAAGAGGTAGACTAGAACTCCTCCTCTGTCCCCCACAGGTTGTCTCAGGAGGTCTTTATCATCCATCATAGATCACACATTCAGACTGTCATGCCACACCAGGAGATGTCTGAACAGACCCAGATCATAGAACAGGTAACAGGTCCAGCTGGAGTAGCCCAGGAAGGAGCCCAGGAGTCCACTGCTTCAAGTAGCATCTCACTAACTCTGGAAGGAAAATGAGGGCCTTTTGGGCTCTCAGTACTTAGGCCTTGTACATGGGTAGAATCCATGCTTCAATTTGGGCTCCTGAAGGGGCAAGTTTGGCTTCTCCAGATATATTTAATGCCCTTTGTAGGACATCTCACAAGACCAGTTCTGACAATGTGACATGACTTATTAATTGCACATAAAGGGCCTTGCCCACCCTGGTCACAGGTAGCAAGCCTCATTTGGTCAGCCCAGTATGCAATATTCATATTGTGTGTGTGTGAGGCATGGCAGAGCCATCTATAGTCACAGATAAGGCTAAGGCCCATGTGTGTGTAGGGGGGAAGCCCTGGACTGGAGCAGTGGAAACAATTTGACATCAGGCCAAGTCCTCAACACAAGCAAGAATTAGTGCTGAGAGGTTAAAAAATTATTCAAGGTCATATGTATACAACACAGGTAAGAGACATTGAGAAAATGGATTAGTATTATTGTGTAATAATATTAGTAGCAATTAACAGCAACATGCAGGAAGGTACACAATAAACAGGATAGAAGAGGAGAGACAGAGTGAAAACTCACATCTGGGTGAGGGATGGCGTACTGTCCCTGGATCGTGTAGGCCTGGAGAGAGAGTGAAAGAGAGAGATCTTCAGCTCAGGATGTGACAGGACTTCAGCTTGTCACCCATTGGCAACTGACCCTTTCATGACAAAAACCTTCTGGGAAGAGCTCTCCTCCTCAATGTACACCTCCGCCTGCCCCCATTTACTTAGGATGGGGAGGGAGGGCACCTGAGTTACAATCAGTGAGCCCTGGGGAGCTGCACCCCCTGAGCTATGGTTAGCTGCTGGGCAGGTAATGGTCCATCAGTGTTCCTAACCCTGATTCCCTCAACTTTCTTTAAAACTATAAACCTATAAAGATGATTCAGATTGACTGAGATGTTTAGTATGAAATATACAAAAATTCAATAAAAACAAACTTAAAAAAATATAAACCGACAGATGACCCATTTGGCCCTCCAGCAATAGGCCTACTGATTATCAGTCAGCAGAGTAAATTCTGGCAAAGATATTCAAGCAAAAACAAATGCTTTAAAAACTGACAAAAACAAAAAGCAGTATTAACAAATGGGTCTAAATCAGTCATGAGACTGATCCAATTTGTCTTTCTTACCAAATCTTAAGTGGGGGCCCCCAAAATGGGGGCCCCCTCCCTGAGGGCCAGTGTGGGATCCCCAAGGCTCATTTGGTTTCATTATTTGCCTCACTTCAAATCTGTGGACTGGGCCAACCAGAATAACCATCCACCCTATAGGCTCCCCCTGAAATCCCAAAGACAGCAGAGCCAAAAGGTCCCTTCAGCTATGATGTCTTCTGGCAACTCAAGACGACAAACAAATAACACGGTCAAGGGAGAGCAAGACCACAGACAGCTGTCTGTATTTAGAGGGGTGCTATACTATCCTGATGGAAGCTTCTAGCACCTGGCTGAACTAGACCTGTGATGCCCACTTGTGTGACCACCCTTGAGGTCTCTGGGCATGAGAGAGTCACCTCAGGGGTCATCATGTGTCACTTATATGGACCCTGGCCATCCCAGTTATTTGAATTTGCTAAGAATTTTCTTTATAAACAAACTCAGCTCAAAGTCAAGTGGCCACCTAAGAGGGACCCGGCCACAGCCCAGCCTTGAAACAGATTCAGTCCTAGCAAAGTGAGGCCTAATCTAGGATGACCTGGTTGTGCTGAAAGAAGAAAAATATTATCAGATACAGCAGTGTCTTGGGGAAAGAGATGGGCCTACTGCCCTGTGAGGAATGGGGCTTTGAGACATAGTGTCAGGTTTTTAAAAACTGTTGCCAGAAATGATCTCCCAGATGTCACCCAAGAGAGTGTCACCTAAGGGAGAGACATGCTATCATCCTGACAGTGGGACCCCTTGAGTCTGTTGCCCTCCCAGCCCCACATGTCTGGGCTGAGCCACAGAGCTTGTTCTGGGTCTGTGGTCTAACATCTTTTTTACTCATTTCGTATGGGTATTACATTCCCTAGCAAGCTCTGCCTAGGGATTTGTCAGCTTGGCCAGGTGTGTGGCAAAGGCTGCAGGGTCAGCTGTTCAGTACTCTGGGCATCTTCACCTGTCCTACCAGAGGTGTCAGATACCTACGCCTCTTCTTGGTGTTTATTCTCTGTCATGCATCCTACTCTTAGGCACAATCAGGCTGAATTCTGGAGGAGACCTACCTTAGTGCTAATTCACACCTTTACTCCTGAGTTTGTATTTTGGCTTCTTTTCTAGGTTATGTTCTTGCAGAGTGACCCCTATGTGATTCTGTCCCCTATGTATAGCCAAGGCAACCAAGGTCAGACCAGTCTCTCCCAAGGGCATGATGACAGGCCTTATAAAAGCTAACACTGTCAGGGGACAAACACTAATGCATAGTGGCCTTCACTGCTGTGACTAGGGTAGGTGGTACTACCGATGATTTTACAGGTAGGTGGGGCCAAGAGTCCCTGGCCATGGTCTTTCTTATGGTGGCTCTGCCCTTAGAACTGGGGCTGAGATTCCATGCAGTGTGGTTTTATAGATTCCCTTTCATTTGTATAGAGGCACTTTCTGACGAGAATTCCACATTTCACTATATGATGCCATCATGGATTTGTTTAAACAGAGGTCTAGTCCACACTGGTTACCTATCTGCCAATTAGCCACGAATATGGGGAGAGCAACTGGATGAGCTTAACAGCATGACTGTGTAACCATCTCCCTGAAATCATCAGGGTCCAAAGGACTGCCCTGAGCTCCAGTGGCTGTGAGACTGGCAAGATCTTGTTGAATAATGGGATGAGTTACAGGTTGGCACTATATCAAGGCATAGGACTCCCTGACAACAGTGGGGCAGACCTGGGCCAGGAGACAGGATGACAGGATTTAGTCATACACGTCATCAAGAGTCAACATAAACATATAAGGAATTCAGACAACGTAATGGCAAGAAAAAAAACCAACTTTATAGAAACAAACCTGAAAATACGTTTTCAATACATGAAAATTGCCAGCAGAAGAGAGGAGAGAGAGAGAGAGAGAGAGAGAGAGAGAGAGAGAGAGAAATGGGGGGAGTAAGAAGGGAGATGGGGCCATAGGTCTGACTCACATAAGCTATAAAACGTTGCTGTTCCCAGAAAGATCTGATAAAACCTTTTTACGCTGTGGAAATTCTGGCCTACTCTGATGGCTGGGTCACCTATGGGGGAGTCACTGACTTAACTCTCCCTTGAACAAAGACACACATCGCAGCCGACACAGAGCTCTTCTTGGCAAACCCCTGGCCATCTATGTTCAAGTCATCTGTGTGGACAGGTCATGGGGACCTGAGGCAGTCATGTGTACTGAGGTGAGCATGCAAGGAAGCTAGGAGGGCCCTCTTCTACCTGTCTTCCCTATCAGGCCAGTAGTGGTCAAAGACACAAGCTCCTCCCCACTCTGCCTTCTAGTCTGCTCTGGGGAACAGAGGGTTGGCCACTAAAATCCACAAGGACAGGGTTTGTGCACACTCTGCTTGTGAGGATGCCTGTTAGGTAGGCAAGAGATGGTAGGAAAGGAGCCCAGGGGAAGGAGGAACAAGGGCTTGTCTGAGGCTACTCATCTCACATGGGGGTGCTGGTTCTTTCTTTTCAAGTTCTGCTCCCTGAGTGCATGTTAAGTAAGGTCTGGGATATGTTTCAGGAAAAAATGGGACGCGTTGTTCCCACAGCCCTTGTGGCTTGCAACAGAAGCCATAGTCATCCAGAATGTTTCTGCCCATTTACTACCTAAGCTGCTCAGCAGTATCCACACATGAGGTTTGGCAGGTGTTGCTGGGCAGCACCTAGGTGTGCAATCTTTCCTGTCTCAGTCAGGGACTTCATTTCAGAGACAAGGGATGCTCCCCAATGTGCTCCAGCCGTGCCTACCCAGGCCCTCCACCCACTGCCTGGTGTGGGCCGGAAGAGCTCTGTGTCCAGCACGGGGTGGGAGACGTGCATGTGAGAAGGCAAGAAAACCTGAGTGCACTAACGGGCAGCGGCGGGTGCTGCAGTAAAAGGCTGAGGTTGGCAGTGGAGGCCGCGAGCGGGTCGGCTCTTACCTGACCACCTGCAAAAATGACAGGGGTGGAGGCGGGCTTTGGGCGGTAGGGAATGGTGGCACCTTTCGGTGGGGACTAGGAAAAGGGACAGGAGAGGGAGAGAGAGATTAGAACAGCTTTGCTGCTAGCCTCCAGCTGCCTTCCCAAGCCCACCCCTCTGTGGAACCCCCAACCTCCCAGATGTGACCAGCATGGGTTCCGCAGTCCACAGTGAGGGGAGGAGCTGTCCAGTGGCACCAGGAGGATACGAGCCTGCCCTCCACAGGCTGAGGCAGTTGGCATTCAGTCCTTCTCCTTGGGATGGATATTCCTTCTCCCAAGCCTGCACTGTTTGCTATCCATCCTCAACCTGGCCCATGGTCAGCCAGGCAGAAGCAGGACTCCATTTAGCAGTGCTGAGTGTCCATCTTGGAGGCCAGCTAAGTGGGACGCCTGCTTGCTGGTAAGAGGACTGACCCTGATGGGCTCTGTACTGTGCCCTGCTGTTACCCTCTCCTGGTCTGGTCCCATGGGGAGCCAATGCAGATGGTAGGCATAGCAGTGGCTTCACAGCTTGTATTCTCTGACAAAAACACTCTTGAATCTCTGGAAAAAGCCAGTCTCAGTTCCCGACCCATCTTGAGAACCGATGTCCAACACCCCAAGGACTCTGCTTGGCCTACGGCAATGGTCAGCAGAGGCTTAGAATCATCCAATTTCATCATTTTAAAAAATGAGAGATTTTTATTGTAAGAAAGGTTCTCCTTATAGCCCCAGGGGGCCTGATCTCACAGAGATGTGCCTGCCTATTTCCCTAGTACTAGAATTAAAGGAAAGCTCCAGCATGCCCAGAAAGTTTTTTTTGTTAAACAACTTGCAGAGGCCAAAGGAAAGATTCCACAGCGATGAAGTCTGTTGAAATTTTCCTTGAATACACTTGTGTTCGAAATGTGGGATTCTCATCTTGGATGAACGCTGCTCTCAGTGTCAACATCTTCCACCTTTCTTCTCTCTTCCTTGATCAGAGACAGTCAACCTCTCCCCAGCACCAGGGGTCCTGTCCCTGAGGGGCAGAGACTAGAGCCAGGCCAGATCAGGCAGCATCACCAGCTGGAGTCTACTGCATCAGGAGAGGCTGGAGTCTTTGGCTTTGTGACAGTAGACAGAGGTTGTGATGATTAATACTGTCAACTTGACAGGATCTAGACTCACCTTGAAGACAAGCGTCTGGGGATTATCTAGATTAGGTTAGCCTCTGAGCATGTTTGTGAGGGGTATTCTTAATCATAGGCAGCACCATTCTATTGGCTGGAGTCCTCAACCAAGTAAAAGGGAGAATATGAGCCAAACACTAACATTCCTGGCTCTCTGCTTCCTGACTGCTGAGTACAGTGTGAGCAACTGCTTTCTGTTCCTGCCACCATACTTTCCTACCATGATGGATTACATTCTCTGGAAGTATAAACAAAACTAAAACTTTCCTTCCTTAAGCTGCTTTTATAGTTTGTTGCAGCAACAAGACAAGTTATTACTAAACTGACCATCACTGCAAAGGCACTGGGCCAGAGCCCACTCAGAGCCTGTTGAAGGTGTGAACTTGGAACACTCCTCACTCTGGAGCTCCACAGTAATGGGAGACACAGACTGAGATGACCCCTGGAATGCTGCTTTCCCTATTCCCCATTGCTGAGGCCCTGACCAAATGCCTCCGAGCCTCTGTGTAAAGCTGGCTCACTGAGGCTTCCCAGTGGTACCCTGGGTATGATACATGCCAAGAGCGTCAATGGACACTGGTACTGCCAACCAACAATGGCCCTGCCAACTACTCCAGTCCATAGGGTCATCACTTGTATTTTAAGGTGCTTCCATTCCAGCACAGGGATTTCCCTGTGCTCATCAGAGGCCCCAGTTCTCACTGTTACTCATCCATAAAGGAGAAACTCTCTGGACTTAGACCACTAGCATCCCCTTGGGGAGGCCAGGCACACAGGCTGTTCCTCACTAGTGCAGGAGGCCCCTGGGGGATGGGAGTAGGAGGTCCACAATGGCAACATTTGTCTCCTTCGCAGGTCTCATCCAGGTACATCTGCTGGGGGCAGACCTTTTTGTGATTGTGGGGGTGCAAGGCATATCCTTTGAGCGAGCTTGAAAGCCCTCTGATCAGCAAGTAGGGTCTTGGATCCATCTTTTGCTTTTGCCCCAGCTATTCTTCAAGGCAGAAATGAGGCTGAATATTTTTACTGTGAAGTCTTTCTTCATGGTGAGGGAGGCTACTCCCTTCAACCTTTGCAAACTGCATCATATGAATGAAAACAGTGTCCCTGCCAGGCTGGTCTCCACTGCTGACATCTGCAATGTGAATGGTCATGGTTTCTCTCATACCTCACACCACCTGGAGGAGACAAGGTGGTTCTGACATAGCCCCAGGCACTGACTCCACAAGCAGTAGGTCCTGACTGCCTGAGTGACCATGGCATCATCCTACCACCATTAGCTAGCAGCCTGCTTGGAGCTTCTGACAAAGCCACATTTTCTGTCCTGAGAAGGTGGCATCCCTTGAAGAACTGCAGCCATCATTCACTAACACTCCAAAGGTGCCACTGAACTGAACAGAAGGACATGTGCTTCTTACTGCCTGGGACAGGTACCAGCACAAGGAGCTGCAGCACCTCTACAATGACTGCCAGCCTGCCTCTGAGCCCCTGTGATCAGACTATATTTGGCTTCACAAAAAAACACATCAAGGATATAAATCTATGCAAATGTTTTTTAAGTAGGAAGTTTGACCACAAAGTCAATTACAAACATCAAATGACTCAGCAGCTGCTTAAGAGATGTTAGTTCCGTGGGGAGTTTTTTCTGATGCCAGCCTGGGGCCACCATCTTGTCTGGTGGTGAGCAGGAGAACACAGGAAGGGACTAAAGGGTTATTAGGAGATTTAGCCTTGGAAGTGATAACTGTCCTGACTAGAGGCAAGTATGGTGAAGGTGAGAGGGACGTGTCCTGCCTGTCAGGCCATCAGGACTGAAAAGTAAGTCTGTAGACTCCAAGAGAGCTCCCACCCCATACTCAGGGTAAGCCTTGGGACAGACCTAGGAAAAGACAACATGAAAAGAAGGTTGTGGGGAAGAGAGAAGGTGCCGCTGGGCAGGAGCAGCTTCTCTTGGGAGTAGGAAAAAGAACCTAAACTTTAAATTCTAGGCAATAATGGAGCAGAATCCCAGCAGCAGTGTACTTGCGGTCTTTCCTCAAGCTATAGCTGTCATCCAGCCCCAAACAGGAGCTTCTCACCACTTCCAAGGGCAGCTAACCTCTGTCTTCCTATAGCCAGAGCTGCTTGGCTCTTGCTGGAGACCAAGAAACCCAAGCCTGGGACCTGCCCATCCTTGTCTGCTTCCCTACCCCCACCCCAAGTGACCACATGAATCCTCAGGACCTTAGGAGCCTTAGTGACAACAATAGGCAGTCACACACTGAGTGAGCCTGGTGCTGAGCAAGGCAGGTTGGCAATGTGCTGGCCCACGACGCTCGCACTGTACCTCCAGCATGACCACACAGATCTGCTTCACACATTGGATGATGGCCTCCGGTGTCCCTGAGATGGTCACTGCCCTCTCTGTGGAGTTGGGCAGCATGTCCCCTGCTACCTGGACCTGAGCACCTGTGGACTAGAGAGAAGGGACATTGGAAGGGGAACAGCAGAGTGCTGTCTGCAACATGTACAGGAGGAACAGACCCTCCAAACCTGGTGTGCACATCCAGGGCGGTCTGCACCATGATACTCCTTCAATGGAAACAGGGCCTTAACTGGTCACAGGGCCTCCTTCATCTTACTGCTCAAATGTCACCTTCTTGTCATCTCCCCTTCCTATCTGCCTCTGTATGTCCTCTTGGGGAGCTGTGACTTCCTGGAAAGGTGCTGTCCCTTTTCAGTAAGCACAATGGATAGGAGGCCCTGAATCTATAGAGGAGGGTCTACAGGGAAACAGGATTCCTCTTTCCAATACAAAGAATTCTACTCTTCTATGGAGTTCTAGGTCATAGAAGAGGACAGACAGGAACCAAGGAGGGTAAAGGAAGGACTCAGCCCTCCTTGGAGATGTCAATGTCAAACGTACACCTAGTGCAGGCTCTATTAGTGTCATTCCATAGGGCAAGACCTGATGGCCAAAGAGGTACCTGTCAGGTGCAGGACCCCAAGCCTGACTGTAGCCTAGAGCCAAAGAACTAGGGTGCTACAACCTGTGTGTTCAAGAACTCCCAACCCCCATCTATGTCCTTGTTCTTGACCAGCAGGGCTACGCCAGGCACAGGTCACTGCATGGGTATGTGAATGTGGCAAGGCTCCTCCACTGAACACTTTTCACAGGCTTACTGGATTGTCTGTCTTTTTTACACATCAGCTTCAGGCCATCAGGGTCAGCAGTAACCAGTGCATGAGCTTATAGACTATGTGGGAGACATGCAATAGGATGGTGGGTACCTCCCTGATCTCCTTGATCTTGGAGCCTCCTTTCCCGATCAGGGACCCACACTGGCTGGCAGGGACCACCAGCCGCAGTGTCACTGGGGGCTTGCTGGTGGCAGGGCTGTTGCTCATCGAGTTAATGATGTCCTAGGAAGAAGAAGACAGATAATGTTGGATCTATACTAGTGAGCACAGCTGTACAGCTCAGGGACGCTGGGAAGATGTATATGTAGCATCTCTGCTTAACATCATCTCCACTACACACTGAGAACTCAAGGATCCTTCCCACATGAAGGGACTCAGTAGACCCGGCAATCATGGAGACTTCAGACACAGGCCAAGCATAGGAGGAAAAGGGATATGTGTATCAGACAGACAGAAGGGGCCCACAGGTACTGAACATGCACATGGATTTGCACAGCTGGGTGGCCAGGACATTGAAGTGGACTCAGGGCAGGGTGCAGGTTCGGAGGACACATGGTCAAGTCTGACTTCATCGGGAAGATATGGTGGGGACTTGGACAGACAGATGTGTGAGGTATGAACTAGTAAGAGGGAGGGGCACAGAGAAAGCTGGGGGCTGTGACAAGCACAACCTCTAGCATCAGAAGAGTGCAGGTGGAAAAGGCCTTTCCGTCCACCTAGGATGGGGGATGTCACTCACTCAGAAGGTAGGTATAGCAGAAGTATGATGAGGGCGAGCTTGGACCTGGTTTACCTTGGCAATCAGTGTATTTAGCTGATGGTTTTGACTCTTAGAAGACAGATGGGTTTCAGGTTCAGGATGGGGACCTATCGGGTGGATGGTACCTACAGCAGTCAGTATGAGATGGTCTAGCTATGAAGAAGCAAGGGCCTAAGGTCAAGGACCCAGTGAGGGGGATGAGTGCAACATATCCAGACAAGCTCTCTACCTGAGCAAATTATGGAGAACAGAGCTCCTGGGAATGGCTTTCACAGCAGTACATATTGTTATTCCTAAGTCATATTCATATACCAGTTTACTCCTGACCAAAACATCCTTCTTTTCTTTTCAAGAACATTGTCAGATTATCCCCTAAATGACCATATTTAGGAAAGGTATACAGGAGGATGAGAAGGTGTCTCCAGCAAGTGGACTTGCCTGGGCCAGAAGACAGAAGATGGGAAGGAGCTCCTAAGAGGCTTTTATGGTTGGTCAGATGAAACTGCTGGGAGATTCCATGGCCCTGTGTCCATGGAAACCCAGAGGAGCCCCCATATCAGGAGGTCTGATTAGAGGAGAGCTAGTCTAATACTGGGGACAGAAACTGAGACATACCCACGTATCTGAAACATAACCACACACTGAAAAAGTCACACCTAAGCCTCTGCAGCACTGAGCTGAATAGCCAAAACTGGACCTCATGTTTACCTCCAATTCAGGACCACCCAGGAAAAAAAAATCCATGCTTGGTTTGTCACCAGGGGGTCTTGCTTCTAGTGAGCCACTGCTTCTGCCCAAAGCCCTCTCGTTCACTACAAAACTTACTTTATGAAGCACTGCTGCACCAGGGAGGTGTTAGCCCCTTGCCCCACCCTGCTCTGCACACACCGCTTCATCTGCTGTTTCGGACAGCTTGTTCATCTTGACACTCTCCACCACCCCTTGTTCTAGCCCAACTCTATCCAGGTGGGATACCCAGAGGCCCCTGTGCCCGTTGCTTAGCTCTGCATATAGTCCCACACTCTTGGCATTGATCTCTTGGGCTGTTCATCCCCAGACTGGCGCTTGGGATTGGCTGGCATCTGTGGTGGCTTTGGTATGACTTGTATGTGCTGTGTTGTTGAAAGTGTTCCCACTGTGAGGAGTCACAGAGTGGACCTAACCTGAGCATATGTGTCCTAGTTTGTTTCTTCATTGCTGTGACAAAACACTCTGACCACTACCAACTAGGGGAGGAAAGGGTTTATTCAGCTTACATCTCCCAGGTCACAGTTCCTCAGGGAGCCCAAGGTAGGAACTCAGGGCAGGAACCTGGAAGCAGGAGCTAGAGCACAGGCCATGGAGGAATGCTGCTTACTGGTTTGCTCCCCTGGCCCCTGCTCAGCCTGCTTTCTTATGCAACACAGACCCACCTGCCCAGGGGTGGCACCACCCACCGTGGACTGGGCCCTCCCACATCATTCATCAAGAAGATGCCCCTCAGGCATGGCCACAGGCCAGTCCAATAGAGGCAATTCCCCAGTTGAGGCTCCCTCAACCCAGGTGTGTCAAGTTGACACTAAAGCTAGCCAGCACAGTATGTTCACTCTCCTGCACCAGCATGTGTACAAGCTTTGCTGGAGGGTGCTTGGCTTGACTGATCCAGACACTGTCCAAAGTGGCCTGTATGCTGGGGTGGGGTGGTTATATTGGAAGCATGTAATTGCCGAAGTCCTCCTAACCTGTGGACCTCCTCCTCTTCGGAATGTCAGTCTGTTCCATGCCCACTGAAGCCCCTGGTCCTCACACTTTTCTAACTTTATCCCCCCACCAAGCAGACTCAGGACTGCAGTGGCTACCCTGGGCTTGACCACAACAGATGCTTTATAAAAGAAAGGATCTCTCGATATGCTTTATAGAAGAAAGGAAATGACGTCTTAAGCAGAGTGGGCAGAGTGCGTTTCCAAATGAAATTCTGTCTTAAAAATTGTTTAATTGAAAGTATCTCTGGATAAAGTGAATAAGCAATTGACTGTCTTCAGCGATGAGCTCCATGCTTGTCCAGCTTCTCCTTCTTTGTCCCCCATCACCTCTAGTGCACATCCCCATCTTTCTGACATGTCCCTTTAACTGCAACCCAACCTTTCCCCACCATGACTAAGACCACAAAGCCAAATGCCTATGGAAATCATCATGAGCTGACAACAGGCATCTGTGGAATCCAGACTTGAGTCTTTAGGATTTTCCTAAACCCAGCCAAGACCCATTACTGAGAGTTGAAGAATTTTAAATTCTTTTGGCACACAGGACCCAGGGTTATCTGAATTATATCAACTTGATTCTCTTGCCTTGGGCCAGAAAAGGCTCCACAGAAGGGCAAAGTCTCCAATACATTTCCAGCAGAAACTGATCAGATCATGCAAACAGAGGAAGGGGGAGACTCCTGGGGATTTGTGAGGCAGACTGCTGACATCTGGGCACTAAAGAAGGTGCTGGTGTAGGAGCTGCCCTCCATCACTTGCTAAATGGATTTAAATGGAAGACAAAATTTAGGATAGCAGGCGATCTTTCAGCTGATTCACAACACCTGGCAAAACCAAAAATGAATGTACAGTCCTGCAACTAAGTCAAATGGCCTGTTCCCCAGTCACCAGTCACTGACAAAGACACACGGGGATACTGTGAACAGAAGCAAACTGATCCCATCTTGAGAAAGAAAAAAAGTTGATCCCATCTTGAGAAAGAAAATCCAAGACAAAGAGAAATCCCTGTGTGGTAGTGAGGGACTCGCACCTGACATCCTACTGTGTGGTAGTGAGGGATGCGCACCCGACCTCCTACTGTCTCCTGGACTCCTGGCATCCTTGAGCTGTGTTTGTGGTGAAAGTGAATCTTGATACGCACTCCCCATGGGTCTTCCCGCAGCTACTGCTTCATGGTGTGGCCCTTGGCTCTGCCACTGTCAGTGCACCAGTAGTCTAGGATGACCGACAAGTAATTGTGTTTTCACCAGGGAGGACAGCACCATGCTGTCAGGTTGGGGCCATTGAAGCACCTCCTGTTTCTCCTAGGTCCCACATTTCCCCAAGGATTTGGTTAGGACATAAGCAGATGACCTCCCACCTCATTCAGAAAACAGGAAGCTGAGCAAGATTCTCTTTTCTGCCTCCGTCTCTGCAGACCCAGCTGAGAACCAAAAAAACAGGACTGAAGTTGGGTACTATGGACTCAATTATGCCCCCAATTCAGGAGGAATGTGGCCAGGTAGAGATGGAGCTTTTAAGGAGGTCAGTAAGGCCACTAAGTGCCTCTGATCCAGTAGGACGGGGGTCCTGATGAGCAGAGCAAACAGGGGTGTACTCAAAGAAAAGTCTAATGCCTCATAACTGTGGGCTCCTAAAAATGAAAAAACAAATTATATATTTTTTCCAAGGGGAAGGACTGGGGCATAGAAACAGTCAGCTCAAAACAAAACCAAACTCTACCCGTGAAAATCCAAATCTTGTGTTCAGTGTCCAGCATCTGAGGTTCACGATCTTCTGGGCTCCAAAGGGCTTGAGCAGCCCCACCTCTTCACTCTGCCATCCACAGCACACTGCTTGTTTCACAGGCTCAGCCTGGCTCCTCTTCCCCGGCTGCTGTCCTTGGTAGCTGTCCCTGGATCCTAGCATCTCCAGTGTGCCAGGATCTCCACTGCAACTGAGGTTCTACCTTCACCAGAGGCCTCTCCCCTCTGTTCAGAAACTCTGACCCTGCCACGTGGTGCTGGGTCTCAGCTGCTCTCCATGACCTCCTCCAGGAGAAACCATACCACACGGCATTTTCTTGGACTCCAGCCCCTAGAACTGATAAGGGTTAAACCAGCCAGACTAAGACACTTTGTCATGGTGACCTGGCAGATAGATGGTACACTACCCATCTCACTTTTCAGAAAACACAGGCTTCCACCTGGCATGAGATCAGCTGGATAGCAGGAATTCCTCAAAGGACATTCATAGGGGCTGTTGTAAGATGTCAGCACTGGTCCCTGATTTTGAAGAAGGGGAGGTCCATGAACCCTTCCTTAGGTGACTTAGATTAAGAGCACTGGCTAGTGGTACTCAGTGGTTTCAAATGGGTATTAGAAGAGTTGTCTATGAAAGCATCTGTCATTGAATGAAGATTGGTCAGCTGTTGAAACCACCACTGGAGGACACTGTAAGAGACAGCTGAGAGCATTCTCAGGCCATGTGTTATCTTTTAGCAAAACCAGAAAGGAAGAAATGAGAAGGTAAGACTTGGCTCAAACTCTCTGAATGACTCATGGTGTGTTTTATCTGGTTCTCTGACTCCAGGATTAAGGATGTTTTAGTTACTGTATATCTGTTTTGGAGGTGAAAAAGCATTTCCTTGCAGAAAGCTACATCTTGAGGTTGCTAAAAAATGGCTTGGCTTTTATTTTCATTTGGGAACATACCAACATTTTATACCAAATGATGGGGCA